GCCGAAGTCCTCCAGGATACTCTCCCGGGTCTTGTTCTTTGGAATGGACCCGACGAACAGACGGTTGTTGGCCACAGAGATGCAGACGCCCAGATATTTGCCCGACCGGATCTCGTAGTTATCACACTGATGCCAAACACACACACACACACACACACACGTTACACACCGTAAATACAAAACCACATACAATCAGAACCCGATTAGATGTGTGTGTCAGGGTTCCCACTCTTTCATGAACACCAGATTCAAGGACTTTTTAAAGCACCATTTACTTTATATCAAGCACCGCTCAAATTCACACCCCAGAATATGTAGTGTCACGAAAGACCTTACAGTACTTAACATTTCACTTACACTTAACATTTACATTAAACATTTCAGAGTAATAATGTTTTGAATGTGTAGGTTTAATAAATTTAGACCGTTTTGAGCAGTCGTGTTCAAAGAAATTGAATGAAATCCATTGAAGTCAGTACTGGTAATATTCAAATTAAATTTCTAAAATATTGATCAAATATGCATCAAACTGATTTTTGCTGTAGTTCTTGTACAATGAAAGAATTTCTCAATTTTTAAATGAATAAAAAGTGGTTAAATGTTGTAATAACTTGGTAAAACCTGTTAACATTAAAAATTTGCACATTCACTCAAAAGAGACGTTACTCATTAATAAATAAACTCAAGTCAAAATAATTTAGTAAATGACTTATTGTAAATCCCATTTTTTCATCTTTGATTTAGAGGAACGCAGCTGCTCAAAGCGTCAATATTTTTTGAAAATATTTAATGAACAAAAAAAATAAATAAAAAAATAGGACTTTCTATTTGCTTTTAAAAATGAACTCCCAAAATTTACTGCCAGATTCTGGAAGATAAATCCTTCAAACAGTGGTACAAGAGGATGTGGTGCTGGTCCTTCAAGAGTCACTCTCAGCTTATCTGTCTATAAAGCCTATAAAATAGCCTTCATGTATTTCACAACACTTAAGTAGGGGTCATCCGTCATGCACGGATCTAATATAGGCTACTGATACACATGACAAAAATTTAGGAGCACCTTCTGATCAACGATCAAAAATTCTGATCAAAAACTAGCCTTTCTAATACGAGCTTCAGACGTTTAATGAGGCTCAGAGGTGGCATGAGTGCAATTAAATTCATGTGGAGATTAACGTTTTAAATATAAAATTTTGAATACATAAATATTAAATGATTTAAATAACTGAAATTATTCCTAAAAATGAAACTGAAACCACCAGCAGGTGGCGGTAAGTCACTGATTTTATCACTGAATCATTCATTCAATTGATTCGTTCGAACGGCTGATTCATTCAGGAATGAAACGAGTCTTTATGAATGGGTAATCGTGAATCACTGACTCACTAGATTCCTTCAAAAACGCACTTTCATTCATGAATGAAGCACCGCTGTTTGCTTTTTAGAGATGCGCAGCCGCTGAGCTGTTGAAATAGTGCCATAAACAACATTTATTTCAAATTTAATTCAAGCACTTTCAAGAACTTATGTCTGTTTTCAAGTACTTTCCAGGCCTTGAATCCATATGTCTGAAATTCAAGCACTTTCAAGAAGCGTGGGAACCCTGGTGTGTGCATGTACATATATAGTTGTTGTTTTATCACCTTTGGTCACCCATAAGTAGCTATTTATTAATTTGATAATTGATTTTTTTCAGCTGTTTTTGTTGTTATTTAAATTATTAAAAACATTTTTGAAATTGAATTAAAGCTGAAATAAAATATAAAATTTCATTAAAATAATTATAAAAAAACCCTTGGCACGAAAGTTGAAGCACAAAAATTACTCACTGCAGAAGTATTTCTGTCTTGTTTTCCAGTTTAAACATCTTTAAATGAAGATGCATTTACTGGAGAAGCAAAATTACTAAAGATAATGAGTCTTGTTTTTTTATTTTATTTTTTTTAAGCAAATTTATATTTAATACAAGACAAAATATCTGCCAACGGGGTTAGAAAAGTAAGTTTATGACTTCATTGGCATATTGGAAAATATTTTCCATAGCATAGGAGCATAGGAGTTAATTTTGTTTTTATATATTTAATTTTTTTAAATATATTTTATATTTTAAATTGATTTCATTAAATTATAGCTATTTTTTCATGTGCTTTTGGTATTTTTGTTATTACTATATTACTATTTAGGTTTAATTTGTTATTTTTGTCTTGTTTTGTCTTGCAAAATGACAACAAAAAAAAGTATCAAAATGAAATGAAATTACGCTAACAAAAGTTAATGAATAAAACTATAATAGTATATAAATATAACTAAAATAACACTGTATAAGGGGCTAACGACTGATTTTCATTCATTATTGTTAGCGATTATGGATCAGCGTGTAAGCCCACGGTGAGCATCAGGACGACCCGCACCAGTTTGACAGCTTCCTGCGCGGCTTCTTTGCTGCAGAAGGTGATGAAGGCGTAGCCGCGGTTCTGACCGGTGAGAGGATCCATCATCAGCCTCAGATCCCAGATAGAGCCGGCCTTCTCAAACAGAGGAACCAGCTCGTCCTCGTACAGATCCCGCGGGATCTTCCCCACAAACACCTGCAAGAACACACACAAACAGACACACCCGCAAGAACACACACAAACAGACACACCCAGACACACAGACACACACACAGACACACACAAACAGACACACACACACACACACACACACACACACACACACAAACAGACACACCTTAAGTCGTAGCCGCGGTTCTGCCCGGTGAGCGGATCCATCATCAGCCTCAGATCCCATATGGAGCCGGCCTTCTCAAACAGAGGAACCAGCTCGTCCTCGTACAGATCGCGCGGGATCTTCCCCACAAACACCTGCAGGAACACACACACACACACACACACACACACACACACACACACACACACACACACACAGGTGTCAGCTCAGTCGCTCAGCGCTGGCGCTCACAGAACCGCCAGAGTGTGACAGTAAACCTCGGTGCCGATGCCGGGCTGCGGGCCGGAAAACACTTCCTCTGGAGGAGGGCCGCCGTACTTCCTCTGGCCTGTCGTGACATCTAGAGTGTATCCCGTCCTCTCCAGCAGAGCCTGAGACACATTCAATCTCAATTCAGTTTGATATTCATTCATTTGGATACAGAGGCAATCAGGTTCAGTACATGACAATTCATCTCAATGCTGCAAACTACAATAAACCCGTCAGGTGGTACATCACTGAATCATCACTGAACGGACTTTAGCTGGAAAATGACTCTTTGTTATTGTCTTCTTGCATTATTGAAACTATTTTCCTGTTGACACTGTGAAGCTGCTTTGACACAATCTGTATTGTATAAGGCGCTGTATAAACAAAGGTGGCTTGACTACTATACTATAAACCGATATTTAAATTGCACATACGCTTGTATAATGAAAATATCAACATTTATTATGAAAACTTTTTAATGATACAATTCGGTTTCTACACCAGTTTGTTGTTGAAGTAGAAACATTTAAACAGTGGATGCCATAGCTTGTTTTCATGACGGATTTACTCAAACATACATTAAATAGTTTTTTAATGATGCATTTTGACTTTTAGTGTTAAAGATGTCAACAACACAGCTTGAGATCAATAATGTCACAATGATACATTTACCTCAGGAAAGACATTCAGTGATCATAAACTCGACAGTCAGCTAGAAAAAATAATTGTATGCTAATCACTGTTTTAGTCAATAATTTAATTCATACAAAACTATTTCAGACTGAAATGTGCTATCTTACACGCACAAGCACTAAAACAAGCTGTTTTTCTTTTGAAAAACAGATTAAATGATGAATAATACAATATTTTATTTTAAATGTGTGATTTCTAGACATGGAAAAGTCTTGGAAATTAATATAAAAACTAGGGATGCACGATATTATCGGACCGATATCGGAACTGGCCTGTCACTATAAAATAACTTAATTATGGTTTAATTCTAACAAATAAGTTTTTCTTAAAAACTAACCAAAATTAAAAATAATTAGTTTATAATTTCCACACAGGAGAGACTTGGTGGTGTTTCCAAACTAAAGGAAATATATCGGTATCGGCCAAAATGAGTTGAAAAATATCAGATATCGGCAAAATCCAACATCGTGCATGCTTAACAAAAACAATTAATTTAATAATCAATAAAATATTTTAGCAGGTTTTTTTGTATATTCAGCGTATGTCTGTATATTGTTATCATGTTGATAATGTTAAATGCCGAATTACTGCCAGCACCTTTAGAGAAACATAATTTTTCCCTCCTATGTTTGAATAAAATGATCCATATTGTAAAATCAGGAGTGACTGGAAGAGTCATGCAAATTAATTGCTCAAAGCAAGCAGGAATCCTAAAACTGTGTTATTTGAATGTTCAGATACCAGCAGTGTCCATGTATTAACATTAAAAAGCGGAGTGAAGAAGCTTGAGAAGAACAGGCAGTCACAGATCACGAGATTGAGTTTCTGATGAAGAGAGTAGCACCTTTATCTTGGCCTCGTCTGGGCCTTTCGTGGACTCCTGCACTTTATTGCCCTGCTTTTCTCTCTGTCGGTACGTCTTCATCACGCCGCACAGGAAGGCGCTCTTATTCTGCAACCAATCAGAGCAAAGGACGTGACCTCAGATCAGTCTGAGTATATATCCAAATACAATCTGATCAAATATACAAAAGGAAGGCTTGACAAATACTTCTGAACTTTTTTCACCAAATATTTAGTAAATATTCAGTTTGAAAGACATAAATAAACACATGAATGTCTGTAAGAAGTAAGGAAAAAGAAAAGATAGTCATATGCATTTACACGCTTAATTGTTTACCTATTGAACGGACTGTTTGCCATCCAATCATTTTATTTGAATCAATCACTGTACAACCCGTCAAAATAAAAGTTCGGTTTAACTTGAAGACATTGTGCCAGCAATATATTAGCCTACTATTGTTCATTACAACTTTATTTTGTTTTTATGCATTCTAATAATTAGATGTGTTAAAACACATAATTTGGTAACGATAAAACATACGGTGAGAAAAAACTGAACATTTCATACGGCCCTAAACATATCATACTTGTTAAACTTTTAATAAATTGATGTAAAAAGTTTCCTGATTTTAATCAATTAGACATGCTTTTTGATGAATAAAATATCATTTAACCATTTAAAAAGGAGTCCAGAAAAATAAAAATGGAAAAAAACAGAATACAGAAAAAAATAAAACAGAATTTGGGGAAAAAATAAAACTGATTTCATAGGGCCCTACATTCAGTTTCTTATTGCTAACGGATGATGATAGTGTGTGTGTGTGTGTGTGAGAGTGTGTGTGTGTGTGTGAGTGTGGGTGTGGGTGTGTGTGTTTGAGTGAGTGAGTGTGGGTGTGGGTGTTTGAGTGAGTGAGTGGGTGTGTGTGTTTGAGGGTGTGAGGGAGGGCGTG